CCTCTTGCAGAATTGAGCTCTTCTTTCACACATACTTAGGTGAAGTGGAGGCATGTTAAGTAGCATCTCTAGGGCTGCGGAGGAGCAGGTCGACATTGTTCCCGTTATCTCCAGGCAATGACATCTTGACACAGATAGATACCACATTTAATTCATAAACTGATGTTTGTTGTGATAACAAGACCCCCCATGAAATGCGCACGAGTGCAACTTGGTGTTCACACTTGCACTGGAAGATGTTTTCAAAGCTCTAGACTGGAATAAGAAAGACATCAAGGTCGACGGCAAGCATCTGAGCCACCTACGTTTTGTACTCTTTAGCCAGAATATAACGAAATTACAATAGATGTTGGAGGAACTTCAAAGAGAATCAGCAAGAATAGGATTGACCATGAACCTAAAAAAGTCATGACACCTGACAATATACAAATGCATATAGGTGACCAAATCGTTGACAACGTCGAAAACTATTTTGCATCAAATTTGGCAAAGAAAATCCAACCGCTGAAGTAAACAGACGCGTTCATTTGACATGGGCAGCCACGGGTAAACTGTCACACGTATTGAGAAATCGAACTATCCCAATAAATTTGAAAAAAAAAGGTCTTCAATGCCTGACATACGGAATGGAAACCATGACACTCACTGTTAAATCAGCTAACAAGCTCAGAACCACCCAAAGAGTCATAGAACGGACGATGTTGGGAGTATTAGACAAAGATCTAAGGTTGAAGACGTCATATCACGCATAGCTCACCTGAAATGGAGCTGGGTGGGACACGTTACTCGACAGGATGACTTGAGATGGTCAAGACGCCATCATTTAATGCACACATAAACGCAGCGTTGGCAAACCACAATTACGCTGGCTCGATGATATCAAAAACAAAATTGGCAATGCAATGGATGGCACATACTGGAACAGGACAACATGGAAGAATATAGGGGAGTCCAGGAGTGGACTGTGAAGGGTTGCTGAAAGAAGAAGAAGAAGAAGAGAAAAGTTTGATGGGTGCATTCACATGCCAATTGTTGTCAGCAGTCGTTTTTAGTCTTGAACCTCCAACTTTTTGGAGTAAAGTCATAACAGGATAAAATATTAATCCGTAACATTTTGATGTTGGCGATACAAAATTTTGTTCACTGTAATGTCTATCTGTGTTTATATGTCATTGATTGAACAATCTATGAATTGATGGTCCGACAGTCATTTGACACAAACCAGTTGGTTGTTTGTGTCAGTAGAGTAACATCTAAAGGTCGGGTAACATCTATCATGCATCCTTCCGATCATATAATTGGAGGAGTGTCTGAAAGGGAAAAGGTACTACACTTGAAAGAAGGTAGCTCACACCTTTCCGGTTCGTGCCCATTCTCACTTCCACCCGACTCCGATCATGGTACGATTGTGCAATCCATTCGCTTGCTGAATTTGGAAACAAAGACGTCTATAAAGGAAAAGTGCAGATCTTCTTTTCCAAGCAGCATGTATCCAAAATCTGCATATTCCGCTGTTCTTTATGAAAGATCTCCGATTTTCTTCATATTCTTCACACCGGAAACGAACATACATGTGTGTGATCCTGCACCGATCTGATTCTTGGAGCAAAATCGGACCGGAGTCGGATTGGCGCGGTGTATGACAAGTGTGTCCCGGCCTTTAGACCTCTTGTCTAAAGGCGTTCACTCCTTAAGTTTGTATCGGTGCTTCTCTATCCTACTTGGTAACTGACAGTGGTTAGTCAAGATGTTTGTTGTTAGAGGCGATTTTCAGCCTGCAATGATTATTTATCGGTAAATACCGTAGTTATTCTTTTGGTTGACGACTTTGACAGCCAACTGTGACGTCGTAGGCTTCTACTACTCAAGAATCATAACTCAAGGAACTGACCTACAATCTTTGGTCAGTCCAGAAGTAGAGCCAAAATTGGAAATATTGTCAACTAGCTGCTTAGGAAAGGAGGACCCGGTATTTAACCTTATTAATTTAATTGCCGATTCGATCGAATGTTTATTGCAATTCAGCAATAAATTGATATAAATTGCGTTGCAAGCCGCAGCAAAGGCAGACTTAAACCAGTGCAAGTACCTCTCGTTGGAAAAGCCCCTCTGGAATTAAGTCTCCCCAGTGCAAGTTCCTCTCGTTGGGAAAGCCCTTCTAGGTATCTTCAGCCTTATCGTTGTCCAGTGCAATTACCTCTCGTTGGGAACGCCCCTCTGGACAAGGCATAAGGGTGACGATAAACTAATCTACAGTCTCCCAAGCAGCATTTACGTGTGGCTCCCTATAAGGACCCCAGTGTTCGAAGGGTCATGTATCTTATAGGATTAGCGTACATGTAAGGTTATATTTGGGAAAATATATAGCATATATTTTTATATAACCTGAGCGAGTTTCTCTCCATCAACCCCCAAAGTTACAAACCCCCCATGTCACCCCCGTAAAGTGGGCAGCTGTGACAATATCATAAGTTAGTTATAAGCAAATTTATTATACAATCAAATCCTAATCACTGAGTAAGCGAACTCGTATATCTTTGGCCACCAACATGGTCATCTCCAAGGATAATACACACTATCATTACAGGCTAGCCTATGTAGATTAAATTTCAATAACATCGGCAAACGTGATCTCGATTACCAAAAACGAGGTCGATAAGCAATCCTGTAGTAGTGTATATTATCCTTGGGTCAGCCACACGAAAGGAAGGCTGTTAGCTCTCCTAGCCAGAACATCGATGCCTCTGTCCTCTATGAGGATACAGTGTCAATGTTGTACTAGTTGTGACGTAGAACAACTCCTTGGATTAGTTGCAGCCAATCGTATCGTCCTAGCATTTTTGGAAGAGGATGTGGAACTCTGGTCAGTTTTAAAAATAGATCCAAAATTGGAAATAGTATAAGTTAATTTAGGTTAGTCTTAAGTTAGTTATAAGGGAGGAAAATATATAAAGGAGAATTCGATTAGAAAACCTCGATGGATAATACACACTACCGTTACAGGCTAGCTTATGCTCATACGACCAGTGTAGATCAAATCTCAATGACGTTGACAATGATGGCGATAACCAAAAACGAGTCCGATAAGCAGTGCTGTAGTAGTGTGTATTACCTTGGAAGCCCCACGAAAGGAAGGCCGTTAGTGTAGAATGTCATTGAGTGCCATCTTTGAGCGCTTCCGAGTTACTCCGGCTAGAGTTTGACTTATTCGGGTGAGAGTGAGCTATTCTCATTTTCTTGCCTTTTACTTCTGAAGCACCTATTTTTTTACATTGTTATGGTTGTGTCAGGCTTTGGTTTCAAGTGTTCCAGTGCAAAAAGCATGGAGTATGAAGGACCCTACACACTACGTTCTAAAATTCAGTCCGAGTTTGATATTTGGCACAATGGTTCAATATTCCGTTCAAGGGCGCCGACTACGTGGGTGTCGGGGGCTCGAGCACCCACGAGCATAGACTTAAAAACTGATAATCCTCTTTAGTTCCTGGAAAACTGGTTAATTTTGTACCTCGGATTCCTGAAATCTGGTTAATCAAATGTCAAAATAGTCACCGGCCATCAGATGTCGGTTCTGTTGGTTTTATCAAGGTTTTATCTGTAACTTCTGTCAATTATGTTTTATTTCCATATTTGCGTTCCCCAAAGTAACCGGAATTTTCAGTAAACATCTGTTGACCGATTCGGTTACTTTAGCTCTGTTCCAGCAGACATGAAAACCTTTCTAGAACGGTAATTTCCAGTCGATCAATCCATTTGTCAATTAGGAAAAACGTTCAACTTATTGAAAAATAGGTGGGCAACTGGAAATTATTGGTTCTGGAACGGTTTTCATGTCTGTTGGAACAGAGCTAATGGTTAACGTTTGGTTATATAGAAGATGAAAAAAATCAGAAATCTTTTATGAAGAACAGCGTAAAACGCAGATTTTCGGTACATGCTGCTTGGGTAAAAGAATAGCTGCAGGAGAGTTTTCCACACTTTACAGTGGAGTGTTTTCACAGCTATCAGACCAATACCCACCTCTACCACGTAAAAACTCCCCTCCAGCACAGCCATCATACCACTAAAGTTTGCCTTAGGAGTCTAGCACTATGGAAAGAATGCGGATAAAAAAATTGCAATATTGCCTATTTGATTTCCAATAAAAAATACCCTAATATTTATTTATATTATACACCTACATTTATAAGGAAAAAGTAATATTCAAAAACGTTGCACGCTCGTCTATGACAGGCAGCATAAAGCTCGAAATGAATGGCGTTATGTCCCCTTGCTCTTCAGACGTCGTAGTGCTAGACTCGTAAGGCGGACTTTACCCACCTCCACTGTACCCCCTTCCGTGAAGCTCCTACTTTGAAGAGGCACTTTGTACCCACCTGCACTGTAAACCTTCTTCCGAAAAGTCCTACATTAATCTATTTTCAAAAGGCTTTTACCCTGAGATGGCACCTTATTATATCTCTTCACTTTGTTGAAAACTAAAGAATATTTAACCAATTCTTCCATTTGTATTCAAATTCGTCAATTTTGGGGTTGGCCCGGGTCAAATCCGCAAAATTTCAGATCAAAAGCGCCGCCGATCTAGAGATTTTTCCACGGTATTGAAAAACTTCCCAGGCTCAAGTGCCCCCGGCTATCAGACCAATACCCACCTCTACTACGTAAGTGGTCCACCAGATTCACAAGCAAAATGTTATTATTGCAATGGAGTTTAGAACACTATTGACGAATACAAATGCAGGAATAGTTGAAATATTCTTTAGTTTTCAAGAAAGTGAAGGGATATGGAAAGAGGTACGTCTTCAGAGTAGAAGCTTTTTGACGTAGTGGAGGTGGGTATTGCTCTGATAGCTGTGAGGTGGGTATTGGTCATAAACAGGTGCATTAATTTTTTTGCAATAATAAATATTTTGCTTGTGAATCTGCTAGTCTGATAGCTGGGGGCACTTGAGCCTAGGAAGTTTTTCGATACCGTGGGAAAATCTCTAGATCGGCGGCGCTTTTTGAAAATAGATTCATGATGGGCTATGATGGCTATGCTGGCGGGGGGCTTTTACGTGGTAGAAGTGGGTATTGTTCTGATAGCTGTGAAAACACTCTACTCTACCCTTATAGCCGTCCTTTTTTTTCCAATTTTAGCAGACACCGCAAAAAACTTACATAAGCACCAAGCAACACTAGTTCTCGCACCTGGAAAACGAATATGGAAAGGTGTGAACTACGTTGTTTGAAATGTATTACCATTCCCTTCTTAGACATTCGTCCGAATGTAAATTAGTAAACGTTTTTGGGCGTGGCTTCTGGAGAAGTTTTTTCGCCACCGGCGGGCTGTTCACCCCCCCTCATAAATGCCGGTGCATGAACATCAGCACCCACGAGGTTTTCTGAAACCCGGCGCCCCTGATTCCGTTCCAAAACCGTTGTATGTGAGTCCACTTGCCAAAAAGTCGTGTAGTGTGTGGTGAAAATAGACTGACGACGTTGTTAATCGCGACTATGAAAACCGTGTAGTGTGTGGGGCCCTTAACGGTTTGAAGGGTTGTAGGAACTTCGCACTCTGCACCCAAAAGCGGCTCATATCGATAATTCTGTCCTCTGTTAGGATACGGTGTCAATGTTGTACCTACTATTTCTGACATAGAGTTTGTCTGCAGATTATGTGAATGTGCTTGTTAAGAAAATACATACAATATTTATAAGTTTAATCAATATTTCTTGGGTAACTTAAGGTTTTATGCTAGAGCTTAGGGAAAGAGCTACGTTTCAAGAAAGGACCTGGTGGCGACATCTATTAAATAAACCTCAATTTACATTAGTAAAAGATATTACAGAAAGCAATACAAGAAGCGAATTTTGATCGAGGTCCCATCTATCAGCATTATTTGCTGTAACAGTACTGTGGCCATTATAAACCGACCAAAAATCAGTTTGTTTAAAAAAAAAACCAAGTTTCCTCCTATTATACACTGATGTGATTACAGAAAACTGTAGTTCTTCTTGTGTAATACCAGTACCCTCTATGCTCCATCATGAAAACTGTCTATTGACATATTTATCCACGTGGTTGTTTGTATTTTTTTGAATTTGATTTTCAAATTAAATAATATACAATGATAATACTTATGCCACAAGAATTCCTTATGCATTAAAATACAATTAGATGCGTCTTGGAACAATAATTAGCGTTAAGCAATAGGTTGGGAAACTTCTTCAACATTACTCAATCAATATATTTTAAGTACTCTTATCTCAAGACTTAAAAATGATAATAAAATAATATTTCTTTAATAATATTAGTGTTTGAAAATGGTTGACAAAGAAGAAACCTTAAGTTCAAATCATAGTCACATTAGGGACGGTATTATTGACTTTACAGCAGGATGTTTAGGTAAATTCAATTTCACTAAAAATACACATTCTTCAATTATCAACTTACTATTATAGGCGGTATAGCATTGGTATACGTTGGCCAGCCTCTGGATACTGTAAAAGTAAAAATGCAAACCTTCCCTTTACTCTACACAAACACGATAGATTGCTTTAAAAGAACCTACTTACAAGATGGCATTATAAGAGGCCTTTACGCTGGCACTGTGCCTGCTTTAGCAACCAACGTGATGGAGAATGCTGTTTTGTTTCTGTGCTACGGCTTTTGCCAGAAAATAATTATCAATGCCTCAGGTCAGATATTCTCTTGTAATGTAATATTTACATCAATACAATATTGTAACCCTTAGGAGCGAATTCAGCAGAAGATCTCAGCGTGCTCTCTAACGCCTGGGCAGGATTCCTAGCTTCGTTTTTCTCATCTATAGCAATTACGCCCACTGAACTGATCAAATGTAAATTGCAAGCCATGCACGAAGTTAATAATGCGCAAAGTAGCAAAAACATTAAATACATTGGACCACTGACTTTGACTAAGCAAATAATAAAAAACGAAGGCACTAAAGGGTTGTTTAGAGGTCTAGTGCCCACTTTAGCCCGCGAAATGCCCGGATACTTTTTCTTTTTCGGTGGCTACGAAGGCACTAGAGAATTGTTGCGCAAGCCCCACCAGAAAAAGGAAGACTTGGGCCTGTGGAAAACCATGGTGGCAGGCGGTGTGGGAGGTAGCGTGTTTTGGACGACGACTTTTCCTTTTGATGTAGCAAAATCACGCATACAAGTCAATAACACTACTGACAATTTATGGGTAACCATTTCGAAGATTGCCCAAAAGGAAGGAGTTTCTGCTTTGTATAAAGGTCTAACTCCCACCTTGATTAGAACGATACCTGCTACTGCCACACTTTTCGCCACTGTGGAGTATTCAAAAAAGTTTTTTAACTATGTATTTTGATTTTGTTTTATTTTATAATAAATTTATTGAACCTTACATCTAATTTTTCCACTTTCTTTTCCTTAGCAATTTGAGTTGTTTGAGATCTGTTGCAAAATTCACTCAGTAATTGATTCTGAACTCAAACCTGGTTGGTCTAAAGAGAAAAATATATTAAGAGGTGAGTTTATTGTATTGTTCTAAGTTGATAATCAATGAGCTATTGTTTGTAGAGTAAAAATGGCCCGATGAGGTGTAACAGTGAAGAAGTCCACTGCTCAAAAAAACATTGAAGGCAACTCCTTGAAAAATGTGTCGAGATCAGCCAGCAATCCATCACTATCAAAAATAAGGATATTTCTAATTTTTAAGATAGCCTGTACGTTTACCTGACTGTTATTTAAGACGAAATATAATAATATAGCAACTTTTAGACAATATAATTTGAGTGTTTTCTTTAAAATATTAGGAAATTTTCTAGAAAGTTTCAGCTTTGAAGCACAAAGACCATTTCAATCCAAATAAAGATACCATTTTGCACACCGACGCAGCAACATGTGGAATTGGGGCAGTACTTTTACAAAAAGACGACAAGGGAGAAGCACATCCAATAGCCTACATAAGCAGAAGTCTTTCAAATAGCGAGAAGAACTATTCAATTAGTGAATTAGAACTATTAGGCGTAGTATGGGCATTGAGCTATCTGAGACACTTAATTTACGGGAGACACTGGTCAGTGACGATTTTTACTGAAAAATCGTCACTGACCATCATGGATGGATGGACTCCATTAAGGAAAGTAACAGACGCTTGGCCAGGTGGGCACTAAAACTTGCAGAATTCGATTACACGGTTATATATAAAAAAGGATCAACACATAGCGACGCCGACTGTATGTCCCGCAATCCAGTGCTTCAACCAGAATCCGAGGAAAAAAGAAGAGCAAGAGGAGCTCCCCACATTCGCACTAAAATCAATGCAAACAGCTACATTACAGGAGACAGACGACCCAGAAATTAATATTGGCATCAGAAGAAGAGCAAAAAACTTTAGGATTGAGAAAGACTTACTCTATAAAATTAATAAGACAAAAAACGGCTTAGAAAAAGTATTAGTAGTACCAAAATCAATGAGAGAAGAAATTTTGTGGGAGCTACATGCATCACCGACAAGTGGACACTTGGGACTGAGCAAAACAACGGACAAAATTAAAAACAGATTTTTTTGGGATGGAATGCTAAAGGACATCGAAAAGTACGTTAAGGGATGCTCAGATTGTCAAGCTAGAAAGGGACAACCTTACAGAAAAACGCCAGGGATGTTACAACCAATACCGGTGGGAACAATTTTCGACAAAATCGGAATTGATCTTTTAGGCCCATTTAGAAGAAGCAGTAAAGGGAAAACAATGATAGTTGTAGTTACCTATTACGCCTCACGATATGCCATTACAGCCGCCCTACCGAGTGGAAAAGCCGGACCAGTTGCAAATTTTTTACTAGAAAAAGTATTCTTAATACACGGGATGCCAAGAAATTTGCTCAGCGACAGAGGAAAAGTTTTTCAATCGGAATTAGTAAGGGAATTAGAAAAAATTAATGGGAGTAAGAAGCCAATTTACAACCGCATACCATCCTTGTTGTAATGGTCTCACTGAAAGGCTAAATAAGACAATAGTTGACATGTTATCCATGTATTGTAACACACAGCAAACAGACTGGTGTAGCTATCTACCATTTATAACATTTGCGTATAATACAGCAATACAGGACACAACGAGATTTAGCCCATTTATGTTAACATATGCAAGGGAACCCACACTATCAGCAGAAGCTGCATTGTTGGACGCTGACAACGAAACGGACGCTCTGCAAATTAGAGAAAAGGCACTCTTAATAAGAGCCATAGCAGGGGAAAATATACAGAAAAGACAAGGGAAAGATAAAGGGCGTTTTGATGAAAGACATAGAGAATTGGAGTTTGAAGCTGGAGACAAAGTTAAAGTATTTATCCCAATCAGAAAGGTTGGAAGAAGTGAAAAGTTACTCTTAAGATGGTTTGGACCATACAAAGTAATTAGAAAAATGGGAGAAGTGAATTACGAGGTACAAAAGATTGGAAGCAGAAAAAAGGATACGGTCCACGTGAGTAGGATTTTACCCTACTACGATCCATGGACAGAAGCTGCGCCTATTGAAGAAAGGGCAGATGAGACAGATATAGCTGAAAACGCAGAATCTAAAGTTGATGAGGATGAAGACGACGAAGAAAAAATTGAAGAGGAAATTGGAAGCAGTGAAGCAGCAAACGAGGAAGAAGAAGATTGATTGTACAGATAAAACATAAGCGAAACTATGAAGTAGGGAAATAGGAAGTAGAGATAGGATGAAAAAATAGAGTAAGACATTAAATAGAGTACACAAGGAGGGATGGAGAGGAATGACAGCTCAATACAAGAGGAAACTAGTGGATGACCTCATAATTCTAAGGGAAGATAGAGAATATTAATTACTATGAAAGAAGAAGAATCAGAAACATTCTTATCGACGGAAGAAGCCGCCGAAGGGATTTTAGAAAAGTACGAGCTGCAAAAAGAAGACATTTGGGTATACAAAAAATAAGTTGGACTAAACTTACCTGTTGGAGCCATGATCAACAAATAACCAAATTATGAAATTTGGTGGCCCGATTGTGGTCATAATTAAACTATGTAATTATAAGAATAAGCACATTTTTTAAAATATTATTTTATTTTTTGTATGTATATACAAAACCACCAACCAGGGACGGACTACAAAACATATTCGAGGGAAGGCATTGTAATAGAAGGACCTAGCTCTGGACTGAGCAGGGGCTAGGAACTTCAAACCAGAAGAAACAAATGGGGTTATTGGACCAAAAGTATACAGACCACAATACCATTTCCACCATACTCACAAAAGAAATGACCAAGGATTACTTGGGCCGTGGGACCGCGCAAACCCACAACCCAGATGACCAAATCACCAGGAAGTACTTGAAGCCAGAACCAATCCACTTGAAAGACAGAATACAGCACAATGAACAAGAAAGAAGCATAACAAACCAGGAAACGACACTTAGACCGTGGGATCGAGCACCCCACGATCTAGCTGACCTACCAGAAGTATTTGGAACCAGAACAGACCCACAATACAGAAAACAGGACCGGACCAAAAGAAAAAAATAAACCATGGCTGAAGCGGTGAAGCTGATGAAATTTCTTAGTTGTAAGCTATTTTTTTTTTTTGTAGTAACCTGAATAATAATGCACCCTCACCCATCCCACCATAAAAAACTTTTGTTAATTTGAATTTTTAATTTTTTTCTCTATACACGATATTTGGATTGTATAATTGTTAAGCATCAGGGATATTTTAAAATTAGAGGCTATTATTGTAAAGAAGGGATATTTTTAGGATGTATTTTTTTTTGACATTATTATGGTATTTGTATATATTTTGTTGTAAATGTCTCTTCCAAGCATTGGGGTTCAATGCTTCATGGAGGGGGGCATATGTCAACTAGCTGCTTAGGAAAGGAGGAGCCGGTATTCAACCTTATTAATTTAATTGCCGATTCGGTCGGATGTTTATTGCAATTCAGCAATAAATTGATATAAATTGCGCTGCAAACCGCAGCAAAGGCAGACTTAAACCAGTGCAAGTACCTCTCGTTGGAAAAGCCCCTCTGGAATTAAGTCTCCCCAGTGCAAGTACCCCTCGTTGGGAACGCCCCTCTGGGTATCTTCAGCCTTATCGTTGTCCAGTGCAATTACCTCTCGTTGGGAACGCCCCTCTGGACAAGGCATAAGGTTGACGATAAACTTATCTACAGTCCCCCAAGCAGCATTGACGTGTGGCCCCCTATAAGGACCCCAGTGTACAGAGGGTCATGTATCTTATAGGATTAGCGTACATGTAAGGTTATATTTGGGAAAATATATAGCTATATTTTTATATAACCTGAGCGAGTTTCTCTCCATCAACCCCCAAAGCTACAAACCCCCCATGTCACCCCCGTAAAGCGGGTATAGTTGTGACAATATGAAGGCATGTCATATAAACAGATTGCCTAGAATCTTTCAACTTTAAAGGCTGATAGTGCAAAAACGGAACAACTATTGAAATTGTTAATAAAGCCTCTTTCTCTATCAAATTATTGAAATCGGTTCAGGTACATCAAAGTTATAGCCAATTCAATGAAGTGGTGTCGGATCGCCACAAAATATATGGTGAAAATTCATGGGAAATTTATTAAGGGAAAAAAGTTGGTTTTGGGCTTTTGGGACTTTTTGGGATCCCCTCTACAAAATGGCTTTATTATTCTTGTTCAGCATTTTGCCCCATAGGACATAGTGGTCATGTCCACCTTATGTTGAAATTGGTTTGAAATTAATAAAGTAATGAGGTAAAATGTAGGACTATGTCATTTTGAGGAAATTAATTAAGCCCTATTGGGGGTCGGTATTTTCTTTATTTTTTGGGCAAAATGCCAAAATGTTGGAGGGATTTGATTGAACTTATGCAAAAAATGGATAAAGAAAAGCTTCATATTCAGGAAAAATTATAGGTAGGTAACTTTGCAGCTTGGCAGCTACAAAACTAGGTATCGAAGCTGCATCAAAATTATTAATAAGGTATTTGTAGAGAATTTAATAGGCTTCAATTTAAGCCTCATTATGTTGAAATCGGATTGAAATTACCAAAGTTATGATGCAAATCGGCAACATGGGTACTATAGAGAATAAATAAACAAACAATACCTAATTCATATTTTATCTCATAACTTTGTTAATTTCAATCCGATCTTAACGTAATTAGGCTTAAATTAAAGCTAATTGAATTCTCTACAAATAGCTTATGATAATTTCGATACAGCTTCAATAGGTTCGCAGCTGCCAAGCACCAAAGTCTATTGACTGATTTTTATCAAGGTAAGCTTGATGGTACGTGAATAAATTATGAAAATAACGAAATTAGAATATTTTTTATCTATTATCCATGTTTTTTTTGTTTGAAATAAAGTTTTAAACGCTGAAAAAAACGTTTTTTTCTTTTCATGGGAAAGGATCGAGCAAGCACCATGTTGCTCCTATATGAAATTGATTGAATTTTCAAATTTATTGGATTTCATTGGATGTAACTACTTACATTTAAGCTAAATATTAATGTAATAATTGAATGTATTGAAAATATAGAATATACTGCATAAAATTCAATCAAATCGCAAGGAAAAAGCAAAATTTAAGCAAACTAGTTAGGAAGAAAATGGCGGAAAAAAAATCGCTCTTGATGTGGCGCCACCTATCGATTACAACCGAAAGTTATCAGGAAATACCGTAGCGACATCTAGCAAACAAAAGCTAAAACTGTTGTTTCTTTAGGTTTTGTCTGCTAGATGTCGCTACGGCATTTCCTGATAACTTTTGATTGTAATGGATAGATGGCGCCACAAAAGTTGCGATTTTTTCCGCCATTTTGCTCCCAAATAATTTGCTTAAATTTTGCTTTTTTCTTGCAATTTTATTGATTTTTGTGCAGTATATTTTAAATATATTAAATTATTACATAAATATTTAATTTCAATTTAAGCAGTTACATCCATTGAATTAGAGAAATTTGAAAATTGAATCAATTTTATATAGGAGCAACATGGCGGTTGTTCCTTATTTCCTATGAAAAGAAAAAAACGTTTTTTTCAGCGTTTAAACTTTATTTAGATGATTATTTCAAACAAAAAAGCCATGGATAATATTCCAATTTCGCTATTTTCATAATTTATTCACGTACCCGTACCAACCTTTCTGACGTTCTCCTGTGCGTGCTTATTACCTTGATAAAAATTAGTCAATAGACTTTGGTGCTTGGCAGCTGCGAACCTATTGAAGCTGTATCGAAATTATCATAAGCTATTTGTAGAGAATTCAATTAGCTTTAATTTAAGCCTAATTACGTTGAGATCGCATTGAAATTAACAAAGTTATGAGGCAAAATCATAGTTTAGACTGTGAAGCTTTGCAGCTGTAAAACTATTGAAGCTACATTGAAGTACTCCACAGGAAATTTGTAGAGAATTGAATTTGCTTTAATTTAAGCCTAATTACGTTAAGATCGCATTGAAATTAACAAAGTTATGAGGCAAAATCATAGTTTAGACTGTGAAGCTTTGCAGCTGCAAAACTATTGAAGCTACATTATTGAAGTCTTCTCATCCACAGGAAATTTGTAGAGAATTCAATTAGCTTTAATTTAAGCCTAATTACGTTAAGATCAAATTGGAAATAACAAAGTTGTGAGGCAAAATGATTTTCTCTAATTCAGTTAAATTTCCACATTTTTTCCTGAAGAGATTTCTCACTGGAAAATTTTGAAATTTTCCTATAATGAGCTTCTCACCTTCCTCTTTCTCTCTAAAAAATTTCATAATTTTCTCTTGGATAGTTTTCAAGAAAAAAATTAATTTACAAGATGCTGCATTTAATTTAAATAACACTGGAAAAGTCTAAGAAAATCGGAAAATTAAGGGAAGAAAAGTTGGTTTTGGGACTTTTCGGGATCTTTTCTACAAAATGGCTATCTTGAAATTTCGAAATTCTGACTTTGGTTTTTGGTCCTATACCTACAGTACAGAAAACTCTGAAAATTACAAAAATTGAAACTTCAATCAGACATAGATCGGTAACCGTAAGTCGTAGAGGAAAACTGTTCATGAGCAGATTGTAGAACTCGACGAGATCTAGAAAAAAAGCTGAGTTGTTCCTCTATGACTTACCCTTTCCAAGATATTCCACTTGGAATATTTAAAAACATTGGACTGCCCAGGATTTTTTTTCGGCAAAAAAATCAAAGTCAAAATTTCCTGGAGTTTCTTTCACTACATCATAGAGGATGTCTAGACAAATGTCGGAACCCACTTTTTCCCCCTCAATTCTCAGTTTTTCCTGGAGTTTTTGCTTTGTTTCTTAATGAAAAAAATGGAAAATCGAAATTTTCGAAAAAACAAAAATTTCGTTGTACAAGCAGAAAACCTCTTTGGCATTTTCCTGTAGGACATCGTCTAAGCCTGGAAAAAATTAAAATAGAAAATCAATAGCCAGCTGATGACATGGTCTCATTAAATTGGCCATAACTCTATGATGCCTGGACCAATTTCAATGAATCAAGCCTTATTCAATAGAGAATTGAATTGCCTACAGAGAGGTTTCAATAAAAATCTTGATAGTTATTCTATTTTCGAGCAATCAGCCTTCAAAGTTAAAACTTTCTAAGAAATTCCCCAACATTTTCAAAGAAAACACTCAAATTATATTATTTAAAAGTTGCTATATTTATGCTTCATCCTGAATAACAGTCGTTTTTTCAGAAACATACAGGCCATCTAAAAATTTACGAATATCCTTGTTTTTGACAGTGGTGGATTGCTGGATGAGAGCAGCTGATCTGGACACGTCTTCCAAGGAGTTGCCTTCAATGATGAGCTCATCCTTTTGACCAGTGGAGTTCTTTACAGTCACACCTGGGGCCATTTTCACTCTACAAACAATAGCCCATTGATTATAAGCTTAGAACATTGAAATAAACTCACCTTCTTATATATTTTTCTCCCAAAAAGTTCCTGATTTCAATAATGGAGTTGTTTTCAGTGGTGACACAGTTGATGGGGAAGTGAGCATACACAGCCCTCATTTTGTACTGATAACCTTTGGTTACTCCCTTCAGCATGTTTTCAACATGAGAGCAAACAGTCCTGACTGCAGCTAGCTCCTTTTTGGTTCCAAACCACTTTTCCACTTTTAATAATCTGGGGTTGACCATACGGATGTCCAAAGCCAAGTGCTTGAAGGACCTTTTCAGTACTCCCCTGGACCCTTTCACTGTAATTGTCCGGCTTTTGGTACTGACGGTGATCCCTTCTGGGATTTTCACCGTTTGGTTCGTCACTATTTGTTTCATTATTGTCCTAAAATCATAATTAATTAATCTTCAATTTAATTCACTGTTGGTAATTTATGAAAAACTAAACATCATAACCTAACTTAACTATTTTGTGGATTATCGGAGGCGAATATTAGGAAAATACAAATATACAATGGTGGAACGGGTATTAATGTCTTTAGTTTTTCATAAATTATCCAGAAAAGCGGGCCAATTTGGCCGATGAATCTGGATTTTAATTTTCCGGAAAATAAACACAAACCTTTCACTTTGACGTAAAGGCTCGAAAAAGGAATAGTGCGGTCTTTGTCCGATAGATATCGCCAATCGCCACTAGTAGAGCTCATCTTTTTTATTTTGACGTAACGTCATTTGCTACCTATATAAAATTTTTGAAAATGATGCCGAGAGAGATAGATAGAGTATAGGACTAATTTGAACTTAGGCTTAACTTTGTTAATTTCAAAGGTCAATGAAACTTCAATGATAGTTTTGCATATTTTATTTTATAACAAATTTATGAAACCTTAAATCTAATTTTTCACTTTCCTCTTCTAGTAATTTGAGTTTTTCCTTTGCCTGTTGCAAAATTTGCTCAGTGATTGAATCTGAGCTCAAGCTGAGTTCTTTGTCTGATCCTGGTTGGTCTAGTTTGGCACTGGCCAAGCTTATTTTGCTCTGGCACGCGTTGAATTCCAGTGATAAATGATCACAGTGTTTGTTGAGTCTTTCAATTTCTTGTTTTTGTTTGGTGTTTGTGTTTTTGAGTTTTTCAATTTCTTGTTTGTAAGAGTCGTTTAATGTCTTTAGGTTGTTACATTGTTGGTTGCAATGAGGCAATAGACATTGTTTTAACTTAGAGTTTTCTTTTTTTAATTTGTTAACTTGTTTTTCAAGTGTTTTTTTGCGTTTTTGATTGTAAAGTAGCTTTTGGTCTCTGTAGTGAAACTCCTTTTTGAATTTTTCAATTAATTCAATAATTTGGTTTTGGTAGGTTTTGTTCTTTAAATCGTAGCAAGTTTTCAAAGTGTGCAGCAATTGCTTTTGAGTTTTTTGAGGTAGATTGGTTGATTGTAGAATTAGAAGGATGTGTTGGATAAAATCATCTTGAGTGTTGATTTCTTCTGGAATTTAAAGAATTAAAAAGGAAATTAACGAGGCAAACAAGGCAACTTACCTGAAACTTCATCATCATTATTACCCTCTTCTTCCTTATTGATAATATTCAACAAACAAACCAATAAAGAATTGCCTTGCTCAAAATACTCATACATTATCCTTTCAAAACACTCTTTCCTTATCCCTAACAATTCCAAAATATTAAGCAAATTTTCTCTATCAAACTTACTAACTAAAGTCTCCTGTACGTAAAGCCTTGTTTCAGGCAACACGTTTGTTAAATTCACTTCAGTACTGAACAGGGACAAGGAAAAATTACACTGATGATGTTGCAAATACTCGGCTACAATCAAGTGCAAAGCTTGCTGGGCCAAAGAAGAGGTTTTCTGGATATTCTTACCAATTGCGGTACTCTGTAGGACGTTGACCATTTGGTATTTGAGGTAAGACCTCAGGTCTCGAACTAGACCTTTCTTTTCCATCCAGGCGCTCAACATTTGTTGGAATTCTTGAGGCGAGAGCTGTTTAACTGGAGTATTTTTAATAAAATTGTCCATAATTCGAAATGTTTGTGTTGTGTCCTCATTCCTCATTTGGCAACATCCAGTCAGTACAATCAGCTGATTGCCTTATGACGTGGACAAGTAAACAACTACAAAAATGGGTACCGATGTGGATGTAGTGAAAAACTTGGAAAATTTAAATTTAAATGAAAAAAACCCAATGGAAATTGGTCCGGAATGTGGTCTACCACTTGTCGAAGTCTACAAACTGGCCCTTGGCTTCTACAAAGGTAATTTGGTCAATTTACTATAACTATAGGGCGTATTAACTTGTAATGTTTATGCAGAAAAAGTCGGCAAAGCCTTCCACTTCAGCTACGAAGACAATCTGCAACTGATAGCGTTTTCTCAACAAGTCGCACACGGTCCTTTAGACGAAATCATAAACAAATTACCACCTCTGGGCACTTTAGACGTAGTGGGCAAAGACCGAAGAGAAGCCTGGCACAAATTGGGACAACTATCCAAGGACCAGGCCAAAGCTGGCTTTGTAGAATTACTAAGTCGACGTTGTTCGTTGTTTTCAGCGTACATTGAGGCACACAGGAGGGAAAGGGACGAACAACAAAGACTGGGCAAAGAAAAGGACAAAAAAAAAATTGCTTTGGAGGCGCAGCAGCAAAAAGAACAGGAAAACCAACAACAAGAGGCAATCAAAAGGCAAATACAACAAGCACTTAATGAACAAACCTATGAACAGTTTAGGAAGTATGCTGACCAACAATATCCAGGTGATCCAGAAAAACAAGGTACTTTAATAAGGCAGTTGCAAGAACAACACTACATACAGTACATGCAACAATTAGAACTTTCTCAAAGGGCTGAGGCTTTAAATACTGAAAAAACCACTGAAAATGAAAGCAACTCGAGTACTAAAACTGCAAAAGAAGCTACAGTAGATGATGAAGTAGAAGAAGAAGAATATCAAATATCTTCCGCCAGCATGTGGACTCTGCCAGAAGTAGACTCATTCAAGCAAAGGTAAAACAATAATTCATACTACTTAATTCACAATAATAATAAAACATTCAAATATAATAATAGAGTTGCTCAAACTGAAGGCGATGGTGTGGTTAGAGTAGGCCATGGCGAAACAGTAACTGTCAGAGTACCCACACACCCTCACGGTTCCAGACTGTTCTGGGAGTTCGCCACAGATCACTATGACATAGGGTTCGGGTTGTACTTTGAATTTGGCCCTCCAATGACTGAAGAAGTGTCGGTGCACGTGTCTGACAGTGACGACGAAGAAGACATTGAAATTGATGAAGAGGAACTCTATGCTGATGAAACATTGCACTGCGATCTTGAATCAGGAGGTATTGTGACAATAAAAATAATAATTCAAACTAAATCAATATTATTTTAATCAGGTATAGATTTGTCTTCCATTAGCAAACCTCAACTGTTAGAAATAGTTCCTGTTTATCGAAGAGACTGTCAAACTGAAGTTTATGCCGGGTCGCATCCCTATCCTGGTGAAGGAAGTTATTTGTTGAAATTTGACAACTCTTATTCTTTGTGGAGGTCCAAAACACTCTACTACAGGGTTTATTATACGCATTAGACTATTGATAAATAGGTATTAATTTATTTTATTGTTTGAGTCAGTAAGGAGGACTATAAATTGTTCTTTTTGTGGAATTATTATTGTGCAATGCTTATGTCAATATGTACTAATTAAAAAAGTTTGAATGATTTTCCTTTATCTCCCTAGATGTGTATATTGCTGATGACACAGCATTGAAGCTACATTAAAATCATCCACAGAAGATTTTTAGAGAATTCAATTAGCTTTAATTCAAGCCTAATTACGTTACCTCTAGTAAAATACAGGCTTTAATAAACTCAGAATATTACTATACAGAGCTATAACTAACATTGACAAACTGTCTAGATTGACAAATAATAAAGGTAACAAGATATAAAATACAGGACATCTTAAAAGTTTGTAAATATATAATATTCATCCCTAGTCAGTTTTATAATCTTTCAAATAGGCAAGAGGCTTCTTTTGACGTTTTGGTCAGTCCAAGAAATAGTCAGTTATATTTTCTACATCGCCTAGATTCCTTAATGGTGTTTCTGGTATCCTATCAAGATTTCCAGAATCAGAATCGTTGCGAATGGGATCTGGTTCACTACATTGGTCGTTGTTTTGATCATTAGGTTCGTTTCTGTATGTTCTACATTCTACTTTCATATCTTCCTTCGACGTTTCTTGATGCAGAGCAACCAACCAATTGACACAGTTGTTTCTTTATCTTTAGCTAATCTAATATGAGCATAATCAGAGTTAGCTTCTAGGAGTTGCACTTCTTCCACGATCGTTTATCTTACATGCTTCTTTAGGAAGACTGGACCAGAAATACTCAACCCAGGTTGGAATTGAAGAACCATTTGTAGATCTTCGAGGATGACAGAACTTTCTTCCATGCGGTGAACAATTTGTTGCTATACATAACAAAGACCCCATTGAATGTAAAGAGCCGACCAGTACCTGCTGCCAATGTCTTATATCCATGTTGTTTGATTTTATATACCTTTGAGTTGATATTATACCATTATACCGTTCACACTGCCCGTTTCCTTGCGGGTTATACGGAGTAGTGCGACTAGCTGCAATCCTATATATGTTAAGAATGTTTTCAGTTCTTGAGACATATCCCTCTATCACTATATGTAGGTACGATGGTGTCCCAAAAACAGAAAAAAGTTGAGTCAAGCAATTTATAATAGTTCTAGAAAATTCATCCACAATAGTCAAAATATAGCAGTTTTGGTTCTCAGATGGCAATGGACATTTAAATATTATTCTTTTGAAAGGGGCAGTACAGTAGCTTTTATGATGGTCCCTTGATTTCTATGAAACCTTTAGTTTGATCTCAGCACAAACGGGACAAGTGGCTGAAATTCTCTTGATATATCGTCTAGTGAGAAAGGTAGATTCTTACATCGAACCCAATGATACAGTCTTAATCATTGTTATATTATTTTGTTACTAGAAGAATGGTTACGTCGTCAAGAAATGCATATGTGTCTTCAAAATGTTTTTGTTTAATAATGTAATTCATATTTCTCTGAAAACGAGCAACGCCATTAGTCACTCCAAAAGTAATTGAGTGAATTGGTATAGATCTAAATATAATAGTGAACTAATGAAAATTAGTCACGTCTCTGGATAAGGACCGAATACTAGATCATTGGAGATCCATATTCCAGGTCTTGGACAAAAAAAAAAGGTTCATATCCATCTCAGCAACTTCTTGACATCAGAACAGTCCTTGGTCTGCTCACTGATGAAGACTAGCCTGGGTCCTAAAAACAATAGGCAAATCATATAACAACCATCGCAGAGTTTGTGAACAAGCAACAGAACATTTAATCTGTGAAGGCCCTGTTCACTTCTGCAAAAGGCTGAATTTCATTGAAGAGATACAGCCTAAGAGGTGGGTAATTTACCACCTAGGAAGTTTAGCCTACAAATTGTGGATAGTTGGATATCAACTAAAAGCAGAATATATCTAGAAAGCCAATAGGTAATGCTCGAGCAGCTGGAACAAGCTGTACAACGACAATGGAAGGAAAAGACGAGACGAGAATCGGGCCCCTAGGCATAGAGGGCAACGAAGAAGCAGACCACTTCGCAAAGTATGGTGCTTTAACTTTAACACCTTTTCAAGGCCCAGAGCTAATGGAATGGAAAGCCACGTCTCTGGAATGCTAGATCATTGGGAGATCCATTCCAGGTCTTAGACAGGCGAAAAGGTTCATATATCCATCTCAGTGAAGAGATTATCTGAACAACTTCTCGACATAAACAGAAGAGTCATTGGAACAGTTGTTAGTCTGCTCACCTAAAACCAATAGGCAAAGGAGATAACGACTACTAGATCTTGTGAGCAAGTAATCAGAAACTATAGAACAAATCTGTGGATGCCCTGCTCACTTCTGTAAAAGACTGAAATTTCTTGAAGCGGTAAACTTTACTACCCAGGTAGCTGGTCCTTCTTTGGGAGAAGCCCACAAATTTTGGACACCAACTAGAAGCAAAATATCCAGTGCTTATTGTAACAATTTCAAATGCAATTTACACCAACAATAGATGGAAGAACAGTCCAGGAAATGATAAAGCAACTATTTGCAGAAGAGAAAAGAAATGGAAGAAAAATGAAAAAAGTATACAAGAAAAGGGGTAAAGAATGATGGTAATATTTCCAATCAAAATTGAGGCAACTATGAGAAGCGTCCAAAGCTTTAATACCACCCCTTCGAAAATAGATGAGCAATATGGATTAAAGCTGGATTTATATAGTATCAGTATCAGTAACTTAAAACTAAAAACTTAAGAAACAGACTAACCAGTTCTTAAGTTTTACTGATAAGCTTGGAAAGTGAACTATAAATGGCTTTACGGTCGAACGTGTTTTAAGATTTTACTGTTACTGCTACTGGCACAGAGATACTATAAATCCAGCTTATGTACTTAAATAAGTATCTTGCTGAAACAGAAACCGAAAAATTTTGGTTCCAATTACAACAATTATCACTTAATTTATTCAAGTGAAGCTTTTTTAGGGTTTCATACAAGTTGCTATGTAATGAAAACGTGCAACGCTGACCCCTTTCTGCTATAATTCTGTCCAATAGGGCCAAGTTTGTTGAATAACTTTTCAACATGAACAGAACAGAAGAGACATAATAGAACAGTCATTGGTCTGCTCACCTAAAACCAATAGGCAAATCAGACAACGACTACTAGATCTTCTGAACAAGCAATCAGAAACTATATAGAACAAATCTGTGAATGCCCTGCTCACTTCTGTAAAAGACTGAAATTCCTTAAAGGGGTAGACACTTTACCACTCAGGTAGCTGGTTCACCTTTGGGAGAAGCCCCCAAATTTTGAACACCAACTAGAAGCAGAATATCCAGTGCTTGTAACGACTCCAAATGCAATTTACAATGTACAACAATAATAGAGGGAAGAACAGTCCAGAAAATGATACAGCATGTACCTATTTGCAGGAGAGACAAGAAATGGGAGAAAGGTGAAAATAGGATAGGTACAAGAAAAAAAGTCCAAAGTCTTTGAAGAAAGAGGCTTGTTGAAACAGAAACCGATAAATGTTGGTTCCAATTAAAACAATAGGTAATTATTGCTTAATTTATTCGAGTGAAGTTTCTTTAGGGTTTCATGCAAGTTGCTATGTAACGAAAACATGCAACGCTGTCCCCTTTCCTGGTATGTTTTTGTCCAATAATACGGCGATTTGACCATCTAAAGGCATCGGTCTTCAAGTTTGTTATGGCATTCGTCGCCATCTTGCATTATCAGCTGCTTCGAATTGCCTTATAGCCTTTGCCGTTAGATGGCGCTAGTTTTGTTTTTGGGAATTTTAATTTATTTCTCTTATTCAAATAAGCGAATAATTACAACAATGCCAGAAATAAGTTAATTAAATTTTTAATATAAATTCTACAATAAAAATTATATTATTATTATACATTTTTTTCTTGTTTATTTGCTTGGCGCATGCCTGAGTTTCAACTGTCTTTTCGGTGTCGAGCAGCCAGGGCTTCGGGACGCTCGTCGGTTTTTCGCAAAATTTTGTTGTTTTTCGGGTGATTTTAATGCGGAAAAGTGTTTTTTCTACTTGCGTGCGCAAAGTAATCACTTTGCACACTTATTTGCGCGCGCAAAGTTGAACTTTGCGCACGGAAACTCTTTGCGCACTCATTTTTGTTACGCATAATTACCATAGTTATACTTGATTTTTCAATGTTTTGACGGTTTCTAAATAAACTAATATTCAAAATGAAGGGTTTAAGTTGAAACTAACGCTTAGTTAACATGATGTTTCCTATCAAAGGTGTCCAAATTGGACCAGCCTGTACTGATGGGAATTTGTAAAATTTTTGATATTTAAGAAAATCTCATGAAAATATTCTTGCTGATTCTAGAAATTCCAGAAGATGTGAAAAGGTATTTGGGGATTTAATTTAAAAGACATTCTGAGGAATTCCAATAAATTTTAAACGATTTTTAAAGATTTTGATTTGACTGATTTTTCTAATATTTTAACAATTCAAAGTCTACTTTTTTAAGATACTCGTAGAAAAAATATTGTTCCTAACACTTGCGCAAAAGTGTCTTTCCCGCACTCAAAGCTTATCCGAACTCCGCTTCGCGTCGTTCTTCTAACAGCTTTTTCGTGCGGGAAAGTATCACTTTGCGCACTTGTTAGGAAAATAACTATAAAAGTGTTTTTCGAGGTGTTTTACGTTCGATTGGCACACTCGACACTAGCCAATAATAAAATTTCTGGGTTTCTGGCCGAATAGATCCTGTGATGGCTGTGGCCATGAAAACCGCAAGGTAGGCCTTGTTTTGGTATAATTTTTTTAAAAAACACAAGCGTTGCATGAAACTACACTTATTTCTATTGAAATAATACTTTTTTATTGGAAAACTGCATTTTTAAATGAAAAAAATCAAGCCCCTTTAAGGTAGTTTACAACTTTGCCGATAGATGGCGCCAGCTTCGCAGGGTATTTATTTCTCTTTGAAAATAAGCCAAAAATTAAAACAATGTCAGGGATTAGTTAATTACATTATTTATATTCACTTTACATTAAATTTCTTATTAATATTAGCTTTTTTTCTTGTGCGCACGCCCTAGGGTCAAGTAGGCCTTGTAAATGCC